GTTGAGTACGGAATAGATATGCATGCTAGTTTTGATATAGTAGTTGGTAGATCTGTAGGACTACCTGTGATACTGTCTGTTTATCTGTATATGATGTTATCTGTTATATGTTGACATATTGTGTGGGTTGGGTTGAGGTTGTACTTCTCCGTGTTGTAGCCAACAAACCCTGGAGCATACCAGATATGAACTGAGGGACAGGGAGGGCATTCCAGACTCATACTGAGGGCTCAATAGCATTCCAGATACGAGCTGAGGACCGGTTGGTATGCCAGACTCGTACTGAGGGCTAAACATTTGGATGTCATTCTAATGACTGTTTGGGCTAGAGATCAATCCAAACATAAGCTATGGGCCCCGGGGACAAGCCAGAATTATGTTGTGGGCTCAGGAGCAAGCCAGATATGAGTTGTGGGCCCGATAGGCAAACCATACTCATATTGTGAGCTCAGGGGTAATCCAGTCTTTTAGTTGTGGACCCATTGCATGTTGTTATTATATATGTGTTAATTTTTTGTGTGGGTACTTTGGGGGAACTCACTAAGCTTCGTGCTTATAGTTTTGGTTTATGGTTTCAGGTACTTCAGTGGATCGTGGCAAGGTGAAGGCTTGACCGTACACATCCTCATTTTTGATTCATGATTTTGGGATTACTCTGACGATTAAACTCGTTTTGAAAACTACAATGGAAACAATTATGATTTTTGGTTGATTGAAAAAGTTTAAATTTTCATGTATTTTTATGAGTGTTACAGTTATAGCATGATACTTTTTTCAATTATAGCATTGTACTTTAAATGACATTGTTATGCCGTCTAGTATAGTATTGTACTTTAAATGACATTGTTAATTATAGTACAGTATTGTACTTTACATAGATATGCATACATTATAGACAAATATACTCTTGATTACATCAAATACTCATATACATACATTAATCGCTACATTTCACATTTTACTACACATATATATTCTTAATTATACCAAATATACACATACATTATACACCCATATACTTTTCATTATATCAAATACACATTCAATGATACACATTTTCTTGATTATACCATATACACATACACACATATACAAAATTAATATATACACATACACAAACTAACAGTAAAATAAACTTGTGGTCGTGAAAATTAGCTGTAAAATGACAGGTATGGTGCTATGGTGGTGGTAGTCGCCCGAGAACAGTAGGAAAGTGGTGATGGTGCCTTAAAACCACTAAAATCAAGAAATTAGAATAGAAATTTTGGTCACAAGAGAAAGAGAAGGAGAAACCAGGAAGAGAGAATGCAACTTTGCCAGAGAAGCTGAGTAATCGTCGTTGGTATGGTGATGTAGTGGTGGTAGTCGCTGGAGAACAGAGGGCAGTGGCGGTGGTGCCTTAAAACCACCAAAATCATGAAATTAGAGTAGCTAAGGGCGTAAGAAGAAAAAGAAAAAGAGAAATTAGGGAAGAGAGAACAAACCTTCATCGGAGAAGTTGAGATCATCGCTGGTAACACGTATAACTCGTCAATAGAAGATGATGGAAAACAATTTGGAGTTAAGTAATGGGGTGGAGGCTGGTGGCACTGGTGGTTAAAATGGTTGAAAATTGTCACAAATCGTTGAATTCTTCGGAGAAAACCATGAGTTCTCGAAAGGAAAGTCACAGGAGAAAAGACACCACTCTGGGACGAGACATGAACAAAAGGGTTTTGGATAACTCCAGAACCTTATGAGTGATCTAATGGACATCTGGAAGTATATGTTAAAATAAAAACGAGCTTTCATGTTTCTCCTTGTGGTTATGCATGTATTTTGACTCATTTTAGAGTTAGGTTTTGAGGTTGAGTGAGTTTAAACCATGCGAATGGATAAACTTGTAAACTTTATCTATTAAGACCCTTAGAAGAATCAGATTTGAGCTTTTGAGCTCTAGAGATTAAAGATTAAGTGCTTAATCCATTAAGTTGTTTTGGACGCTCACCACGACGCAGTGAGTGGTGGGTCGTGGTACGGTGGTCTGACAGTTGACCGTTGAATTTTGACCACTTTCACTTTTAGCTAAACTTAGGGTTCCGAGTAATGATCTGATGTTTGACCTCAATCAAGTTAGGAGGTCTGTGTAGCTGTGTTGGCGAGTCGCTTAGTGTTGATCTGCCAACTTGTTTTTTAGGTGAGTTTTCTCACTGTATTACTTATGGCATAGTTATTATGCCATGGTTGTATGCTTAGCTAGACTAGTAAGGTATTGCTTGTTATTTGTATGTGTGTATGATTTGTTATGGGTTGACACAAACCCGTTGTTGTGGGTTGATATGGACCCCGGGTTGGTACAGACCCATTGTTGTGGGTTGATACGGACCCAGGGTTGTTACAAAACCGTTGTTGTTATGTATAGTTATATATGTTATATGTGATATTTTAGGGAAGTTACTAAGATCTGGCTTACAGTTGTTGATTAAATGTTTCAGGTACTTCAGATGATTGTGGGAAAGCGAAGGCGTGACTGTACACATACAACATCAACTTTCATGTTTGAGATTCAGTGTTGTTCTATGATACTCTGATTTTGGGTTTATGACTTGTGAAACAATGGTTTTTATTTATGATTGATTTTATGGAAATGGGTTTTATCTTATTTTAAAAATCAGAAAATTTATCTTAAAAATTGGGACGTTACACACAAACCAACATATAACTGAAAAAGTTCCACTTGCTACTAAACCAACATTAAACCATAAAAATTTTAGTTACACGACCTATCCAAAAGACATAGAATACAAATTTTCAATAAAAAAAAAACAAATAAGTTTTTCCAAGAAAACAAAATACCACCTACATAAGCATATTATTTCATATACTGACTTGTACCTTGACCTTTGCATGTCCGTGAGTTGTGCCCCTTATTCTTGTATTTTGCATAAGTATCACTAACATGCTTTCTTGTTAGTTTCTAAACTCCAGCAACACCAACATTGCGACCTTCTTGTTGACTAGCACTTTCACTTCCATTTAGACTATGGCTCAAACTTTCATCCTCACTTTTCTTCCTTCTTTTCTTAAGCCTTTCTGCTTACTTATGATATGGATGTGGAGTAAGCTTTGTTTTACATAACATTTTGGGCTACATCTTTTTTTTTCTTTATTGGCTCCACCTTATATGCATATGCATTTTGCCATGTCTCCAATTAATAAACACTGTGCACCCACTTGTAAATATCACATACATCCTTAATTTTTATTTTTATTTTCATTTCGGTAAGAATGGCATGTTGCAAGGAATGCATATTGAATTACAGCCTCTGCAAGTGTAAGCATTGTTTTTTACATCAACAACATGTTAAGCATGTCGGCCCCATTTAGTTCTTTTGTACTATGGTGACACTTGTTTAGTATCACCGCCACAAAGTATCAAAGCCACATACTCTCCTATTTGTTTTTTTTATCATCAATGTTATTATTTTTATCTTTCAATGGGGTTTTTATCATTTGCATAATTAGCTTATGGATGGGTTACCCCCCCCCCCCCCCCCCTTATGAACATCCCCTTTATGAGTTACCTTAATTATAGCATTTGACTTTCCTTTGGGAGACATGAAGTGGACTAACAAATTTGTTTTACCATGCTCATGCTCAATGTATACTTTAATCAGCTTGTTATATGAAATGTATTGTGCCATATTTAAGACATCATGATCACTCCCCAACACTCTAAGACCAAAATCCAAGTTAGCATGTAGAATCCTAAAATGGTGGTATATCACTAAGGGTGTAGAGTAACGAAGTTCAAGCATTATATAATCAAGTTCATTGACTGAGAACTTATCTTCGTCCACCGAATCCACATATCGCACTTAACCTTCAATGTATTCGATGTCTAGAAACTTGGTAAATTTGCCAATATGGTGTTGCTCTATGGTAAACAACGTTAGACGTGTCACGTGTCTCTACAACAAAACATAAACATTAAAGGAAAATGGAAGTAAAAAGTTTGGAATCTTGCCTATGATACTCAAGAGAATAAGAATTTTTAAGAAAGTTTTTGAAGTAGTACAACTAACCATATATGTGTGACGTGTCAAACACCTTCTTTACTAGTCTTATCGCTCACATTATATACATCATTTGCAATTGAAACGTAGAAACGATAATCCTCTTTGATGCTTGGATTAGGTTTTTTTTCCGCATAAGTGTGGTTTCAAGAAGAAGAGAAAAAGTGTAGAGACAACTATAACATAAGGATCGTAAATGAGATATTTGGGTATAATATATCTTAATTATGGCGTTAATACGGTGAAAGCTTTCCCCAAAATAAAAAAGACACATTTTCCCTCGTGTGAGGGGCATGAGGGATTTAACAGCAATAATTTAAAGCGGGTTAACTCGAAGGATCACTTCCTTAATAAAACGAGTAAAAAGGGAGCGTATCCATAATTATCCAAAAAGAACAAGGGCCATTTTTAAAATTTTGTCAAAACAAAATCAAGTTCATAATTTGAGCCCTAAAAACTTCTAATTTCTTGTCGGAGCTCCGCTGCGTCCCTTCTTCGCCGGTGACGTTTCCAGTTGTCAGACAAGTTCAGACCCTAAATTCATTACCGTACGTATTTCGATAATTTCTTGCATCATAGTATATGCGTTTTATGTATGCTTTTTGCTTAATCATATATTTCATTGTTGTTCTACATATGATTCCGTTTATACATCGTTTCTTCGACTTTTAAAATTTTGATCGTTTCCGTGTTTATCTCTTCGAAAATATAGCGAGTACAGTAGGAAAGAATGCATTTGAGATTTTTCTTGCTACTCTGAACTGTTAATCAAGTGATTGTTTTGCTGAAGAAAATACACAGAATTCTTTCGATTCCTAATTGAAATTGTGCAAATTGCGTTCGTATCTAAAATTATCTCGACTTCGCTTGTGAATTGAACTGTTTCTGTTTGATATTTGTGCTACCAGGAAGCCATTAACCTTCTGAAGTACATCTAACTAGGTCATGAATGGCACATCAACAGCACTTCTGAATATCAGCCACTTTTTTACCCGAACCATAGTCCCAACTGCCACTCAAATCGAGTCTCTTTTATACAACTATGCAGCCAACAAATCTCTCACTGACATTAAAAAGCTCCACGCCCATGTCATCACATCAGGCCTCCTTACACAATGGGAATCACGTTACATTCCCGCTCTCCTTTCATCTGGGTATGCATTATCAGGTCACCTCCCATACGCGCGCCAACTGTTTGATAAATTGCATCAGAGAACCAAGCGATCATACAACAGTATGATAAAGCTGTACACCGAGAAGGGATTTCCATATAACGCACTTGAGATGTTTGTGGAAATGCTCAAGTCAGGAAGAACAAAGCCAGATAGGCTCACATACCCTTTTGTGGTTAAATCTTGTGCTGAACTTTCAATGTTGCAGTTTGGTTTATCGGTTCATGGTTTGATTCTACATAGTGGTGTTGAATCAAACACATTTGTGGGTAATTCTTTGCTAGCAATGTACATGAGTTTTGGCAAAAAAGATGAAGCTAAACGAGTTTTTGATGAAATGCATGACAAGTGTGTGGTATCTTGGAACACTTTGATTAGTGGGTGTTTCAAAAACGGATTTGCAAATGAATCTTTGAGTGTTTTCAATGAAATGATTGATTCAAAGATGGAGATTGATAATGCTACCATTGTCTCGATTCTTCCCGCTTGTGCTTATCTGAAAGAGATAGATATTGGAAGAAAGATTCATGATTTAGTGAAAAAGAACAATTTGGATGAAAACTTATACGTTAGAAACGCTTTAATAGACATGTATGTAAAATGTGGTGAAATGGAAGATGCACGAATCGTATTCAATGAAACTAATCAAAGAGATGTAGTGACATGGACTTCAATGATAAATGGCTACATTGTGAATGGAGATACAAGAACTGCTATCTCACTTTGCCCATTGATGTTACATGAAGGTGTAAACCCTAATGCATTAACTTTAGCTTCTCTTCTTTCATCATGTGCGGATTTAAAGCATTTAAAACATGGTAAAACCTTTCACGCATGGGCAATGAAGAACAATCTTGATTCTGATGTAAATGTAGAAACCGGATTAATCGACATGTATGCAAAATGTATGTTTTTTACATATAGTTTTCGTACATTTAACAAAACATCAAAAACAAGAACAGCACCATGGAACGCGATTCTTTCCGGAAGCATAGAAAACGGACTTTACACAGAAGCAATATTGTTTTTCAAAAAAATGAGACTCGAAGGTGTGGGACCCAATGAAGCAACTATAAAATGCGTTCTACCCGCATATGCAATCACAACAAATCTTAAACAAGTAACAAACCTCCATGGGTATCTAATAAGATCGGGGTTTCTTTCAAAAAGCGATTTAGCCACCGGTTTAATCGATATATACGCGAAATCCGGAGCTTTAGAACAAGCATATGTTCAATTTACCGAAATACCCTTGAAAGAAAGGGATATTGTGTTATGGAGCGTGTTGATATCGGGTTATGGGAAACACGGAAATGGAGAGGGTGCGGTTTTGCTTTTTAATCAAATGGTTGAATGTAAAGTGGAACCGAACGAGGTTAGTTTTACTTCTGTTTTACATGCGTGTAGTCATTCGGGTTTAGTGGATGAGGGTTTGAGGTTGTTTAAGATGATGGAAGATTACGGAATTACCCCTCGTCCTTATCATTACACGTGTGTGATTGATCTTCTTGGTAGGGCGGGGAGGGTTGAGGAGGCATATGGGTTAATTACTAAGATGCCCGTGAGTCCGAATTGTACGGTGTGGGGGGCGTTATTGGGTGCATGTACGGTCCATGAGAATGTGGAATTGGGGGAAGTGGCGGCGAAGAGGCTGTTTGAGTTGGAACCGGAGAACACGGGGAATTATATTTTGATGGGGAATATTTATGCGGCTGTTGGTAGGTGGGAAGAGGCGGAGAATGTGAGAAATATGATGAATCAAATTGGACTTAGGAAATCACCTGCTCATAGCTTTGTATGAGTAAAGTTGTATGAACTATGAAGGCGATTGATGTTTTGAATCTAGGGTTTGTTGAGGATTAACATGAAGAATAATTTACTTAATATTGTTTTTTTCAAATATCATGTATGTGGATTTTGTATTAAAAATGTGTTTACAATATCCATTACGACCAACCATGCAAGAAACTGAAACCACAGGTACAAATGCGTAAAGCTTTTGATAGTTGTCCACAACCAGCTAACTATTGCAAACCATAGGGACCAATCATGTAAAATTTTATCCCATAATGAATAAATTCTATGTACTTCAACAAGAAAAGCTCAATGAAGTTAAATTCACCAACTTTCTATAAATCATTAACAGTGTTAGGTCCCAAATCCAGAGTAACTTCATCAAAAACAGGCATACTTCTAACAATTTCAAGAATCTGATTCAGTTCTTTATGAACATAACTAAAACGATCTTTAGAGATCAAACATTCGGAATATAGAGTTGAAGTCAAAGAGTTAAACGCCTCAGAACACTCATCATTTCCCTCTTGTGATGTCATTACATGATCATCAAGAACCAGAGAAGTATCAACCCGCCATCTAAGTGGAAAATATTTTTCAGGAATTTGGAAGTAGTTCTTGAGTACAAGCACCCTTAGAGAATGTCTGCATAAAATACCCGAATGTTCATATTCTTTACAAGAACAATGAACTTGTTCAGTATCTGGTATCCAAATCACAAGACACTCTCCTTCCAGTTTGTTGTAATGTCTCACAAGATATGATCCGTTTGCCATATCGGTTGTTGCATATTGCATGCATAAAACAAGCTCTTGTTGTAATGCATTGAAGGCGTAAGGTGAAAGAACACTTCTTGCATGTTCTTCAAGTGGTAGACTTGTCTTCATGGGTGAATATGATGATAGTTGCTTCTCTTTCTTCTGAAATGCAACATTTGTAGCCTCACTTACCTTCACAAATTTTAAAGAAAACAATCTTAGCCCTTTTCATTTAAAGTAGGGTAATTAATTTTCAACCAAATACCTGATCAAAGAAATTCTTGAAAGATGAATGTGGATTCAAGATAGTCTTCATAAACTTATCCATGGACTTCATGTAATCAACAGTCATTGTACGTGCAAGAAAGTAGCCTCTAATATACGCAACAGGCCATGAAGCTCGATAAGAAAACAAAAGAGCCACATGTTTATCTGACTCGATTCCAAATCGACTCACAAGATGATTCCATTGGTTTTCAAAATCTTCTATGTTTTCAAGATGACACAACAACTCAAACTCGGTTTTGAACTCTGGATACTGTAATCCAAGATCCAAAGAAAACCAACTGGATAATTTAGATAACACGTGCCATATGGATATCACGTGTTTGGAATTTGGTAACTCGGTGGTGATTGCATCTCTCAGACCTGAATCTATGTCTGTTACGATTGTCTGCGGGTGACTTCCTCTCAAGAATTGGATGAAAGTCTGTACTAGCAACAAAACAGAAAGCAGATACTAGCAATAAAGCAGAAAGCAGATACTAACAATAAAGCAAAAAGCAGATACTAACAATAAAGTGGAAAGTGGAAAACTTAATGATAAATGAAAGATTTATCACCTGTATGGCCCAAGAAAAGGATTGAGAAGTTTCATCTTGTAACAAAGCACACCCGAGCAAAAATGCCTTGCCTTGATTATCAATACCAAACCAAACACCAAGAAGCATATTGTAAGTAATGGAGCGATATGTGGTTTCAAAAGTAACCACATCTCCAAAAACTGAAAAAGCCCGAATGGAATCACCATATGCCCATGAAAAATTTTCAACTTTACCACTTTCATCAGTTGTATAATTATATGCAAATCCATTATCCCTTTGTGAGGTTTCCCTACATGCTTCAAGAAGTGCCAACATGTCAAGTTCTTTTCTTTCAGTCAACATGGCATCGTTTTCTTGAACGGTTTTCTTGCAAGTTCTCACAAAGTTTCTAACATCTTTCTCTATGAAGGGTAATTGTCCTGGCTGAACCCCTTTTTCTAATTCAAGAACTTTGACTATTCGGTTGACTGGAAAACCGGCTTTTGTGAGTAAAAGTATGCGTTCTTGATCAGATTCTTGGATTTTTCTATAGGCAGGAAGGAGGCGTACTTGATCATCTTCTAATAATTCATGATTATGAATGTTGCTAAACTGAGAAACGTACCACTGTGTTATACCATCTACAATCTCTTTTGTTAAGTATAGTTTTGCATCACATCCACATCTTACTGATTTTCTATCTCTTGGGTGTTCCACGTTAGCCTTTTTTCTTGGCTGATTGAATCCAGATCTGTAACACACGAAATCTCTCCTGTAAACCCCAAGGTTTTGACTTTCGGTTGACCGGGCTTTCCTGACTGAAAATCCGTTCTTTCGGGCAAAGTTGCAGTAGTATTCGAAAGCTTCATCATCGGTTTTGAATATTTGACCGACATATGGGGTGAAAATTACATCTGATGATGATGAAGTTGTTCCATCAGTCTTTACCAATTCAGACACTCCCGTTGTTTGATCATCACCTTCGTATTTGATATAGCATTTCCAATCTCCACAAGGGCATTGTTGGCGTCGAATCCAGATGTTGTCCAACGGTTTTGATGTCATTTCCCACAACAGAATCACATAAGCTGCAAACAATCAATTTGTATTTTGAACGTATTAGGTTTACGACGATATAATCGGAAATTGTAGATTTTTTTTCGAGGATGAAGTGCGTGAAAGATGATTAATATGTGAACTGTGGAGAAGCCTTTTTTAATTTATGACAGGTTTCAGTTTGTATATAAGATCAATTAAAGCACAATTCAATTGAAGAACAACTGGATAGGAAAAATTGACGTACCAGGAAGAGGAAGTTAGGGTTTTGGAGACGAGAATCATAACAAAACCTGAGAGAGACCCTCTTGATTTTCACCTTCTTTTGGAGTGGTGGGTTTTGTTGTTTCTGGAGAATTTCTGCTGTTCTTTTTTGTAGTCACTCTCCCTTTACATTGGAAGAAGTCAAAATGCTGTTGATTGATAGCAATTCGAATCAGATAGTCGGGCCTAAAATTTTGACAAAACTGCCTAAAATTTTAAAAAAACTGCAATATTGGCCCCTTTCGTAAAATCTATAAAAAGTTTAGGATTTGTATAAAAGGTCTAAAATCAAGAATTTTCTATGGTTTTTGTCCTAAAATTAAGAAATTTCCGTAATTTGGTCCCTAGAAAACCCGAAAAGACGATTTTGCCATTTTAATTTCATTTTTTGTATTTTATATATTTTTTAATACTTTATTATTTAAAAATAGAAATTACACCCCCACTCCCCCCCTCTCCCTCTCAATCCCACACAAACATACGAACGATCTTTTCCTCATATCTTCTATTCTTCTTATTCCCTTCATCTTCAACCCATCTACCCATCTTACTATGAATCAATCACCTGCAACTGCCACAACACGCCATTGTGTCCTACCGTATAATGAGAAGACTTACATGAATCAAAGTTGTACATTAACACTCTAAATCATGCAGAATCAACTACACGAACCACCTATAATAATTTAGAGGTCATACCTTAGTCTACAACCTAAAACCCCCAAGTTTGACCAAAAGTTAAACTGGTCAAAAGTCAACGGTCCACCACGTCGTGGTCGAGTCACGCCAAAACAGTCGCGAGACCTCACATCCACCGCACCGTGGTCAGCCCATGACTCATGGTCGGTCCTGAGGATTCAAATGCCCAGGACGAGCCGGAAAAAAGGGCCCTTAGGCCTTAACGTGTAACAAATTAAATTATATAAACTATTTTTTTTTAAAACGACGATAAACTTTATAAATAAAATAATCTATAGCACCTACGTCAACCTTTCTCTTTTCTTCATCTAGTTTTCTTTTTTTAGGTTTTCAACTACCTGTTGGTTATTTAGACTTCATCACTACAGGTTCATTAGTTTTAACTTTCAACATTCAACATTCATTCAGATTTCAGAATTTCAACACTAACTAATAACTGTCATATGATAAAGTGATTTTGATAATCTATTCAATTAAGTATAAAGGCAAACTATTCAAATTCAACATTCAATTTCAGAATTTCTAATAACATAAAGACATTATACATTCAATTTCTGATAAGTGATAACATTCAATTTCTAATAACATAAATTAGTCAATTTATGAATTTTGCATTTTGGAACAAAAAAATTATGAATTCTAAAACAAAAAGCAAACAAGATACATGAATGATTGAATGTTGAATGAAATTGAATGACTGTTACCTGATTAGCAATCGTCTAATCGATTAACAGAGAGTGATTTGTTGGGCTTGATTGATTAACAAACTTGTTGATTCGCTGAATGATCGGTAATCGGATAATCGACGGAATACAATTACAATGACTTCTGGCTTGACTTTTGTGTTGCGTTCCCAGTCCTAGTTCTCACAATCTCACGTATTTGCTTAAATTGTTGAGTGGACTTGGACAAACCTAGCATGGATTCATTTGTTGGGCCTCACAGTAAAAAAAAAAAAAAAAAAAGAAAAGAAATTGGGCCCCATTAGGAAAAGGGCCATGTGCGTATGTCCAGATTGCACCTGCCCTTCACCGGCCTTGCCCTGACTGTGTCACGGTTTATTTGGCAGAACAGTTTTCTTATTGAGCTCTTAATCACTTATGTCCAAGTCTTATACTTCCCAAGAAGCTTTTATACTTCCTCAAGGTCTACAAAAATCAGAACTTTTATGCACATGCATGTCCTCACACAATCTAAGTTAAGAAATGGTGAAAATATGGTCATAACTGTTAGATTAATGTCTAAGTCCATAACTATAATTGGTAAGACTTGACCCGACCCGGCATGGTCCATTTGGGTTGCATGGCATCATGCATTTGGATAGACTATAATGAGAGAAATAACACTTAAGGTTTGTTAATATATTATAAGTTATAATATATTAATAAGATTATTTCATTAGTATTGATCAAGAATTAATCTAGAAT